ATATTATTTTTTATTTGTCTTGTTTATCTTTACTTTTAGCTCAACTCAAAATCAAAAGTTGAAAATGACAGGGTATCTAAACGGCCGCATATGCCCGTCGCGACGACAGCCACTCACCGTCGATAGGCAGACTTTGGCGGCGCCCAGGAAATCGTGTCCGTACTTGTCGTCGTCGAAGAGCGCCACATAGAGCAGCGAGTTGCCCAGCTCCTCGGGTTCGACGCCTACGAACTGGAGGGTCTCGTTGAAGTCGGGATTGCGGGTCTTGTGCACCGTCTTGGTGCGCTGCCAGCGGGTGTATTTCGTATGCCCCTCGGGCGTCACGATGTTCACCTTGCAGTAGGGATCGGCCAGGCCGCTGGCATCCATTGCCGGCAGATCTCTAGCCCGCACCAGTGTGCAGTCCAAGCTGTGGAAGCTCTCCCGATAGCTGATCGCCAGCTCCAGCCAGCCAAGCAAAGGATCGCGACAATGTTGTTGTTGTTGCTGCTGTTGCTGCTGTTGTTGTTGTTGCTTTTGCTGCTGCGGGTTTTGTGTGGTCTGTGTCGCCGAATTGCCCGAGCCGGAGCTGTCGCTGAAGGACCACGACGAGCTCACGGAACTGCGACGCATGAAGCTGCCCTCGCGGCGCAGCTGCGCCACAGTTGACGCATTCGAGATGTTGTCGTAGTCCTGGCCATCCGCCTGCCGGCTGCCCGCATTCGCGTTCGCCTGCCGGCCAAAGAAGAACGAGTTGGACAACTTGCGTTCGCCGCCATCGATGAAGCTACGTATCGAGCCGTAGGCACGCAGCCGGAAGCTCTCATCACGTTGCAGTCGCTGCCGGTCAGAGGAGTCGGTGCCGGTGCCGGTGCCAGGGGCGGAGGCGGAGGCAGTGCCGGCGCCAGCTGTAGTCGACTTGGCGCCATCCAGTTGATCCTCCTCCGGCTCCGACTGGCCGCTGGCACTGCTGTTGCTGGCGCTGCTGCTGCTGCTGTCGTTCACCCGAATCGTTAGCTTCTTGATGCGGCCGCCACGTGCCGGCGTCCCGTGGCAGCTCTGCACGGCGCGCGCCCCCTTTCCGGCTCCGGCTTTGCCGTACGCTGCCACCGCACCGCCGCCGCCGCCCCCGGCCGTGGGTGTCGTGGTGGGCGTATTGGAGGCGCTGGCACTGCGCACGGGCATATCGTAGTTGGGCAAACCCTTGAAGAACCACGCGCCCGACTTCTTCCACATTTCGCGCGTCTCCGAGCAGATGCGGCACAGCCAAATCTCGCGCGTTCGCTCGCTGTTGTGATAGCGGATGTTGATGTCCACGCTGCACTTGGTGCAGACGGACTTGCGGCAATCCTCGCACAGGATGCGCTGCGGTCGCAGCAGCCCGAACGCATCGCCGCACAGCCGACAGCAGTTGGGGCCGCGCTCCACGGCGTGCAGCTTGATCTTCTCCACACGCTCGACGAGTCGACCGACACGTTGCCGTTCCGCAATCTCGATCTCTTCATTCCGACGTATCACGGAAATAATTGCCTCCTGCTCCTCCGGACGTAATGGTTCATTGGTCTTTGAGCTGCTCCAGCCGGCTTTCAATCTGTGCAGGGAAACAAAAAGCCAGACCTTAGTACGTGCATCATTATGGGTGAAGCTGTCTGCGTGTGCGTGTGTGTGTGTGTGTGTGTGAGGGCTTTTGAGTCGACGTGCGCCTAATGAGCATCATTATGATGAGCTGCCTAATGCAGTAGTTACGTTGTTGTTGATACCCTAACTGAAGGCATTTCAAATTTGTGAAACACGTTGAGCATAGGAAGAGTGGGAGAGAGCGAGATCGAGAGGGAGAGGGAGAGGGTGAGAGAGAGATATGTACAAAGCTAGAGAGAAAGTAATACGTAGAGGGCGAGAGAAAGATAGATAGAGAGAAGAGAAAAAAAGAGAGAGAGAGAGAGAAGAGAAAAAAGAGAGAGAGAAATAGAGAAACATAGAGAGGGAAGGAGAAAGATAAAGATAAAGATAAAGAGAGAGAAAAGTAGGGAGAGAGAGAGAGACAGAGAAAGAGATATAGTGAGAGAGAGCAAGACAAAGAGGAAGAGAGAGAGAAAGACCAATAGAGAGAAGAGTATAGAGTGCGAGAGAGCTAAAAGCTGAAAGTGAGGAGAGATTGAGAGAAGGAGAAAGATATAGAGATAGAGGAGGAAAGGGAGTAATGCAGCGATAGAGCAAAAGAGGTATAACAAAGAGACAAAGAGAAAGAGGAAATAAAATAGAGATAGAAATAAAAAGAGAAAGATCAAGAAATTTATAAGGAATGAGGAAAACAAATGGGACATATGCAATGAAACGAAACATTTGCCTATAAAGCCTTTTAAATAATTCGTTTTTATACCCTGAACCCATTGAAAATGGGAAATCAGGGTATAATAGTCTTCTTTCTATAACTATTCTATATTCTATCACTGGAGTTACTTACCAAATAAAAAATATTATAATGTATAATGGCTAATATTTTTTCAAACCTAGAAGAATTACTATAAAATATATTCATATACTATATTGGAGCTCGAGCTTCGTTACTGCCATAGGGAACTATCAATGAGTACTGTTAGTTCACATTCCTGCAAACGCCCATTAAATGTGCTTCAGATAGTGTATAACAGCTGTGCTGGCCCTGGACAACTGACGGCCTCCGTTTCTGGCTGCTCCTGTTGTAGTTTGGGCAGCTCAGCTTCAGCTCGCTGCCAGGGCCGAAATGTCAAGTTCAAATTTAATTAAGAGGCAAAGCTAGCGCCCGGGCTCACAGCTCACAGCTCACGGCTCAGGGCCATCTCCGTCGTCGTCGTCGTCGTCGTCGGCGTCGTCTCCGGGTTTGCTGTCGTGTTTTTGTTTTTGGGTCCGGGCTTGCGCGTTTTATGGCCACTTTGGAATCACTTACACACGGTATTAAAAACGTAGCACACACACATTCACACTCACACACACACACACACACACACACATAGAGGCGCCCGCGTGAGTACTTGTTTATGCAAATTGGGGTGGCACTTAATGTAGATGTTGTGCCTTTTGCTAAGCGTCAGTTAATATGCATATACTTAGGCATACATACCTACATAAGTACTGCAGACATACAGAGACACAAGCATACAGACGTACATCCGTATATACTTATATATACATCAAATGTATATGGCTCATATTCCCAGAAATCCTAACAAAACTTCGCAATTTCGATTACTTTTTACTTTAATTTTTTTTTTTTTTTTTTTTTTTTTTTTTTCATATTGCCCTTTTATTGTTTTTTTAATAGCCAGTTGCTAATGTGCAATGGACTAGCAGATACCCTGTAAACATTCTACATGCACAAATATATTC